CATTCAAGTGGCAAAATCCAAAATCCAGATCATGAACTTTGAGCATAATTTGACTTGTTCCTGGTCTGATGAAAAACGTACCCATTTCGCAAGAAATCTAAGACACTGGGCTCTGTCCTTTGGCCATATCGATGCTTCTCAAATGCTAATTGCCCAAAGATCAGTTATACAGAGGGGTATTTGCCTACATAGTATTTTGTAACTTTCTAGTCATAACTCCATCGACAACAGAACCCCGCCCATTGGTGATAGGTTGTGTCTACACTGAAGCGCTACAGGGACACAGCTACACCATTGCCGTTGCAACCTTTCAAGTGTAGACAAGCCCCCAGTCACTATCTCCAACCACAAAACCTTAACAAGCACCTGGCTGTGTTAAGGCAAAAGGAACTTGCCAAGTGCCTGGGCCACGTGACAGTCAGAGGTGCTGAGCTCTTGATAGAAGTGCATATGTGGTCACTGTTAAGGTTTTGCTTTAGGGTGCAAATTTGCTGACGTTGGGTACATGTTGCATTTGGTTGTTAGAAATGGAAGTGAAAGCCGTAAGGGCTGAAGTGCGGAACTCCCAGCCCTACAGGCAATACGGGCGTGGAAAGGAATCCCAAAGTCTTTCCTCTTAACCTTTTATTTCCACGTGTTAACAGTTTTGGATGAATTATGTGTTGGGGTGAAACCTTGGCTGCCATTGTTCTTGCTAATTATTTCTAGCTCTGTAGTACCAAGAGGACTCAATAGAGATCAGGGCCAAGTTGTGCTGGGAGCTGAACAAATACAAAATAAGAGACTGCCCCTGCTGCGAAGTGTTTCCAATCTAAATAGGGACGGGAGACATGACAGTTGGGGGTAGGATAAAGCAGAGCTGGTCAGAAAACAGACATTTTTCCCTATGAGAAATTACTAAAAAAAATTAAAAAATCTTTGTTCAAAATTTCAGTTGAAAATTTTCAGGTTTTTCCAGAAATTCTGAACTTATAAACAACAAGAATTCTCATTTTAAATCAACTGTTTGATTTGACTTAATGTATTGTTTCACTTCATTTCTCCCCCAAAGAAACCTAAAGGAAGCAATCCACATCCAAACAAAACTAACATTTTCATTTCATTTTGAAACGTTGATTCAAAATAAAAAAAAATTACATCTCAAATTTGCCTGCAGGAAAACACACACATTTCACTGGAATTTTCCCACAAAGCTTCAGTTTCAATTACACATTGTTCAGCAGCAGGAAAGCTTTCCACACTAAACCTTTCAACCAGAACTAAGACAAAGTTAAAACATTAAGAGGCATGTGGTGCCACTGGATGAGTTCATTTTCTGCGGCTGTTATTGCTGATGAAATTCATTTTCTGTAAGGCTAGGCTGGGTCACTGGGCAGCAGGGAGGTGGTTTACACACTGCCCAGGGCAGATCTGCCAAATGAGAGAAGCTGGGAATATTGGCATGTTTAAAATGAAGGGTTTGATGGTGGAAATCCACACACATTTCAGGAACTCCTTGCTACTGCAGCTTCCGTTTTCCACCAGACCCTGTAATCGGTCATGGAGCAAGTGTCACCAAACAAAAATAGAAACACCCCAACCATGGCAAGCAAACCATCATGCACTGAGCCACTTCCCCCTCAGCCTTTCCCGAGGGAAGTGAAGTAGTGTAGATAAGCGGAACTCTTGCAGTGAAAGAACTAGTTAGAGAGTCTGTTTCATTGCTAACGACTAAAGGAGAAACCCGGACCTGGGGCTTCCTAGGAACACGAAGGATTTTCCTGGACAGAGACTCCCCTGGAATCAACGTCCCACCCGGCTGTGGGGAGAGGCAGAACAATGAGGATTTTCCCCATTCTGGGTTGGATGCTTTTCCCAGGTAAGGCAGCAGTGAGCGGCGTATGCCCCAGCAGAACCAGCCAGCGTTGTTCCTCCTTGGGCCTGTCGCACACCCACGTGTGTGTTATCGGCGAGCAGCTGATGAGGGGGGATTCTAGGAACGGCCCCTGAGCCTGCAGGCAGGGCCGGATCCAAGCACCAGCTTGGCAAGCAGGTGCTTGGGGCGGCCACTTCGGAGAGGGGCGGCAGGTCCAGCCATTCGGCAGCAATTCAGGGGATGGTCCCTCACTCCCGCTCGGAGCGAAGGACCTTCTGCCAAATTGCCATCGGGATCTCGCCTTTTTTTTTTTGGCTACTTGGGGTGGCCAAAACCCTGGAGCCAGCCCTGCCTGCAGGACCCCAGAGCACCGCTCCCGGAGACTGGGATTTTGTGCCTTTGTAAAGTACCTGCCTCTCGCTCGGGGCCTGTATCATTTGAACGGCTCCTCGCGGTTCGTGTAGCTGCTCAGTCAATAGGAGTTTGTTTGCAGCGCTCCCCTGGTGGTAAAGCTACTGCAGGTTGGTGCTTTACATTTGTAAGTGACCAAAAACTTCCCAGCCCAGAAGGGGACAACGGGAGTGTCCCGGAGTCTCTCTGTGGCCATGAAGAGTCTGTGTAAGGTACATTGGCCCCCACATTTTTCCCGTGATGCTCAATCAGGGGGTTACGGGGTGTCCAGACTTGCAGCCCCTATGATCCTGCAAACACGTTTTCTGCTGTGGTTTATTCTGAGCGCCAGCCGCCCGCTGCGCTTCCTGCAGAGCGGATCCTTCTCTCTGCCCCGGCTCAGGAATT